GTTGCCAATGCAATTTTTCAAGGCATTATTCACAGTTAGCCATGATGAATTAGTCCAATAATAGGACATTACACAAATAAAGTTAGTAAAATACTTGTGAACTCAAAATGGCGGCTCCCATGAGGCGACCCTCTCCATGTAAAATAAACAGTATTTTCTAACCAAGATCATGACTGGCATCACCATCTAATATGAATGTACATCATTTTTTAACACACTTTTCAAAAGATCTCTTCATTCCTTTTCTGAACTATAACAATTTATGACAGATGTTTTACAATATAAAGAAGTTTTAAAAGTTATGTTTCAGAACTTATAATAAAGGTCCCAATAAAAGCAATAACAAAATACAAAAGGTTCATTTAGAGGATTGTTTAAATCCCCATATCTAAATCTAATTAAGTAGATGGTGCAATAAATTCCATTCCATTCTAAAAGTTACCACCCAAATGTTGTTGTTTTTTATCCGCTTTGTCTCACAGTCATCCTACCTGCAGAACCTCGGGTCTTGGTGTCAGATAATTGCCAAACCCTCCCAGAAGGCTTTTAAACAGAGTGTGTTTGGAACAGAGTGTGAGTCAGAACAAGCTTTTGACAAGCATTGCGAGAGGAAGCCTGATTTGAAAGCAGTAAGAAAGACCCATCACCACTACTGGGCTTCTTTAGCCATTGATTTTTTTTACCTGGAGGCTGGCTGGAGACTCTGAAAGAAACTATTAGATTTAAAAACAGATTCTATCCTCATACATTTTTCATCAAGCATTGCTGACTTCATATATTTGCTCTGAAAATAATCTCCATATACATTATCATATCTGTACATACATATATATTTATGCATTTGGCAGACGTTTTTATCCAAAGCAACTTGCATTGCATTCCAGGTATATACTACCCCAGGCTAACGGGAACGTTCTCAGAACTTTGACAAATGTTCTGGCAAGGATCTCTCAAAGTTATGAACAAATGTTCTTGCAGTAACGTTTATAGAACGGTCATTAAAAGTTAACCTTTAATAACATTCTAAAAATATTTCCACAAAAACATTATTGATACTTTGGGCTGTTGAATGCTTGATCTTTCTGATTGGTTGACGAACATTCTAAGGTGTGCAATTATTTTCAGGGAAACACACGGCTAAAGTAGTTCCAGGCAGGTCTTGGCCGCATTACAGTTCCATATCACCTCGCCATTTCAAAGGTCCTTACAGCCAACAGCAAAATAACCAAAACCTACAACAACAATCTGACACTGACCAAAGCAAATAAATATTGTAAACAACAGGACAAAAACAACAAATTATTTCCATGTCTTTTGCCACCAAATTATGGAATTATTAAGTTTTATTATGTACGGAAAGCACACACTCTCTTTCTCGCGCTCTCGCTTCCACTTAAACACTCACACATACAGTACGGACACACACTCGCAGAGGTCAGTGCTGCTCTGACGATTTTATCAGTAAAATAGTTTAATAATTTAAAATCTACATGATATTTGAGGATATATGAGGTTATAATAACAGCACTGTTCAAAGAGCAGATAAACTAGGGTTTCGCTATTTGTAGAGACGCTGCTGCCGAACACTGTTGAGAGACGCACAGACTGAGGTAATTCACTTAGCTCTCTCTCTCTCTCTCTCTCTCTCTCTCTCTCTCTCTAACTGCATTAATATCTTCATCAGTGGCTGAAGCCTCCGTTACTAGCTCTAAAATGACATTTTGGAATTAGTAACGGAGGCTTGGGATGAGATTGAAAAGAAATTAGTCCCACACGAAAGTTTTAAGGACACCACCTGACAAACGTCTTGAAATACATGATCTGAAAAATGCTTTGAGGTGTGGTAACTGTAGTATAAGTGGAATAATTGACTGAATTATTGAAAAATAATGCCACGCATTACCACCTCGGCAGTGGTGGAGGAAGTACTGAATCTCAGTACTTAAGTAAAAGTACAAATAACCAGAGACATATTTACTTTAGTAAAAGTAGAAGTACCACAATGACAACCCTACTTAAGTAAAAAGTACCTGATTTTAAATTTACTTTAAGTATTAAAAGTAAAAGTACTTGCATAACAATTTATTCTCTTAATGTCTATATTCTAATGATTAATAAAACAGTTAATTCTAACTCATTCAACCTAATACTCATATAATGATGTTCAATATGATGGAAAAGCAGTTATATTTTAAGTTTTTGTCACCATTTCTGAACAAGCTTGCAATTAGGCAATATACACATCAAGCTTACTAAATAGCCTACCCTTACTATATACGGTATATATATATATATATATATAAACACATATTATGTTAAAACGCCGTATATGACGGCGTTTGGCTGTAAACGCGATTCATTTATGGCGTAATTCTGAACCTCTTGGCTTGCCATACTAATCCTAACCAAACGTATAATACACACGCACCCCACACCACTACTAAACCTTACCTACCAATGCGTTTCCTATGCATGTAAAAACTAATTTTCGCGTATAAGTTGCACGATAAACACACTGCGTGCTATAGAGACGCATGTAGTGTGACCGGGTTGATATATCTATGGCAACCAAACTTCACTGGTGATGAGACAGAAACGTGCGACGAACGGACGGTCAGGATGACGTTTTGGCAGGGAAAAACTGATCAGAAAATTTAACGAAAATGTAACAGAACGTTGTAGAAATGTAGTGGAGTAGAAAGTATAAGAATTGCTGCAAAAAGTAACGAAGTAAAAGTAAAAAGTATGCACTATTAATTCTACTTAAGTAAAGTACAGATACGTGAAAAAATTACTTAAGTAAAGTAACGAAGTATTTGTACTTCGTTACATTCCACCACTGCACCTCGGGTCGGGTGTGCATTATTTTTCTAATAATTCACTACAAAGGTTACTAACAAAACTTCGCTAATACTTTTCAAAAGGTTAGCCTGGCTGATTATAAGGAGCTTGAGGCTTAACAACCAAGATTATCAAAAACATTAACCAACATCGACATCAGCTTTCCCATTAGTGTAGTTTACACCATTGTACTGTAAATAATAACAATAAAATAATAGTCAGTCCGGTTAAAAATTGCTGATCTCTTTTGAAGTTGTATTTTATACATATTTGATATTTACAATTGAAAATAGAGAAGGCCCAGACAGGATTTGTGTAAGTGCGGTTTTTGGAGGGAAATCAGTGGAATTATATGCAATGGATTCAAACATGATAAAATACGTTAAATGAAGTACTACACTTTTATTGCTAGCTAAAGCATGATCAAATTTGCCAAAAATATTTAATTACACAAACATGAAAAGAACATTTTCATAATTCTGTGTGGATAGATCAAGCAAAGGCGTATAGTGAGCAATGTACTGGTTACATTTGGGAGCAAAGAATTCAGATTCATGACAAATGTTTGGTTGTTATCCATGGAATAAAAGACAGCTGAAAGACAGATGAGCGTGTGGCAAAACTAATAACCATAACAAGATGTCAGTAGTAACAATAAGGCTCTGCTGCAAGGTGTGAGTGACAGATGGAGGTGTTAACTCAGGCAATAGCGGCAGAACTACCGGTGATGCCTGAACTTGGCCAAGGAGACAAATGAGACAAATCCAGAGGAGCTGTGACTGAGATGATGAGACAAATGCCAGTCTGGGACACTCATAGACTCAGTGACAGTAATGAGGCAGATAGATATCCACCCGAGGAAAGAGATTAATTAAGGAGATGTCCTCTCACATAATGCTGAAAGCAGTCGCCCAGCACAAAGGGAGATAACTGCAAAAGAGATGAGACGTTGACAGGTGAGAAGATGAGGAAATCAGATGCGCTCCCGCGCATGTCGGCCCATTGTCTGATTCGCCGGGTGATAATTAGGCATCACAGATGACATCTTGCTTGCATGGGGTGTCACGTTGTGTGTGGGGGGTGTCATCCTGCAAGCCTTTCTCCTTGTTAATCCATCTGTTGGTTGGTGTTTGGGTGACAAGCTGTCCAGTCTACAGCCCCTAGATGGACATACCACTGGGGTATGGATGTATTTGTGACCTTGTGTATGATTATGAAACGTAACCACTGTATTTGTGTCTATTGGTTTGTGTATAGTTAGCAAGTATTCATTCAGTGGTCGCTTTTAGACCAGAAACCAAAGTACGAAAGTGGCAAACATTATGAATGCTCACCACTCCATTACAAGATTGCAGTTTCATTTTTCCTGTGTTCCTGAAATGGTAACAAACACCAGTACACAAGGGGGCGATAGAGTTACCTTCATACGTCTATGCCAGAGATGGGCAACTTCGGTTCTGGAGAGCCACTCTCCTACAGAGTTTATTTTCCATCCCTAATCAGACACACCTTCTAAACAATCCGGTGACTTTGTATATATTTTGATTAGGGATGGAGCTAAACTCTGCAGGACAGTGGCCCTCCAAGACTGGATGTGTCCATCCCTAGTCAATGCCATTAAACAGGGTGTAAACTACTCACAAACATGTCGACCAGTTTTACAATGGTAAAGCAACTTTGAGAATGTGAATGCATACTTTGGGTTGCATTATGAATTGTTTTCAGCAAATTTCAGAATGCAAAAATTCACAAAATCAATCATTCATACCTAGAGGCACTTGCGTACTTGCATATGTTTCACTACAATGCAGGAATCAGTGCCTTGCTCAAGCTTGTAGATCACCCCTTGTGTGGTTAAAAAAGAAGTGTCCGATCCTGCTCCTGGAGGGACACTCTCCTGCAGAGTTTAGCTCCAATCCTAATCAAACACACCTAAACAAGCTAATCAAGATCTTCAGGATTACTAGAAAATTCCATGCAAGTGTGTTTGGCGCAGGTTGAAGCTAAACTCTGGATGACATTGGCCCTCCAGGAGTATATTGGACACCCATGGATTTAAAGGTTTTGGTTACTAGATCTCATCGTCAGACTGCGTTCAAATACATTTTTATCAAATCAATGCCTTAACCGTCAAAACATGCCCAAAGTGTGTGCTTTACCTCCCGGAGCTCTTTCGCCACGTCCTTGAGCTCAGCGAGAACTTCCTCCAGCTGTTCCATGACCATCTTAACGTGCCTGCGGATCTCTGCTCTCCGGTCAGGGCTCGTGCTCGGTTCAAATGGTCCTAGCGCTGTGCCGTGAAACATCCTTCACATGGGGATGACAGCAGCAGCGGCAGCCAGGAGGGGACAGGACACTGGACTTCATGTCTGAAGCCCACCACAGTGTTGTTTAAACCTATCTGGATAAAAGACCCATTCTCTGGTCTGAAAATCTTCGCATAGCTGTTTGTGGCACTGCTGATGTTAGAAACCGCCAAATTCAGTCCAGGAATATCTAGTAACTGTCAGTAAATTCAAAAGGAAAACTTTTAAAAAGGAAAAGGGCATCAAGAAAATTGGAAAAGTTTCAGCACTGAAACAAACTGTTCTCAGCAAAGCTTTGATCTTTTCCGTATGATGTTAAAATTAGATAAAACGGTATCATTTTTGGCATGAAAGAACCTTTGTTCTTAAGACAGCCAGAAAATAAATAAGTAAAACACCCTTTTGGGCTTCTATTTTGAGAGGTTTGTGACGTACCAAAGGTCATCTGTGAATCTTTTCAGTTTCTCCCCATCTACATATGCATCCTCCATCGCAATTCCACGTATTCAGAAATGTTACCATGAAGCATATTTTACATTGAAGAAAAAGCCTTCAGTACAGGAGCCATCAGTATTTGATGTGAAGAAAATATGTATCCAAATAGTGCACTAAGAAAAGTAAGAACAAGTCACATTCCCACTCGAGCTGACAGAAAAAGAACGCATCTGGTGTGACACCTGGGAGGACGAGCCAAAAATTGCTTCTCTCAGAGGAAAAAACAATACTGTGAGACAAAGAGAGTCCCGGACATCAGCTAACCCACTCCAGAAATCGCTCAGGAATTCAGTAGCTTGTCTTCTCTTGGCTTTTGTGGCTTTGGTCCAGAATTGATGCCGTTTGGACTTATTGCTGCTCCATATGTCTATAAAAAGCTTCCGCAGAGTTGCCAGGCTTTTCCCACTGTGCCCCGTAGTGCAGCGTATCTCCTACCCAATCTGAGCACACACAGATAACACTAGAGACGGATGCATGCTCAGCACCTCTCTTCCAATGTTGTCCTCTATCAGTCACTGATGCTCAAGCACTTAGGAAACCTCCCCCTTCCCTCTCTCTCCTCAGTCACTCGCCCTCAAACACTCGCATTTATTTCCTATGATCTCTCTTCCATAACTCTTCCCTCCTCTTTCATAGTTGCTACCGTGCACACACTACCCTTTAGTCCCACTCACCCTTGTCCTGTCACTTCCATCCTACTTCCGACAAACACATCAATTCATGTACACTTCCGAGCTCGCTCTCTGCTCAGATCTTTTCAACCACTTGCCACCTCAGTTGGGGAAGCAAATTAATTCAATTCAGTGTTGCAGTGCAGGCTCTTGAATCGTGAATGCGACGGCTCTGCAGCAATAGAAGCGAACCAGATTATCCCATTTAGATCGGTAATGAATAGAAGACAGACGCAAGTACATCAGGAAACCGCTCGCCCTACCATAATTATGTGGAAGGGGATGCTTCAGCCTCCTGTATTCATTTTCCTGTTGCTCTCTTCAAATCACGAATCGACCGGGGGACTGTGTCAGCAAGTTTGAAATTCTAATTTACCTTTCTATGATTCTTCAAAACATCCTGCGAGGCTTGTCCCAAACAAAGGCCCTCATTATTTCTTAGGTGTCTCTGGTGGGAACACTGATGAGAACGATTCGCACAAAACAAGCAATTGTCTGAATAGTGTATTCAGGCATACAGTGCCAAAACAGTCGTCTGAAATAGCATATACAATTTGAGATGAAAGTAGAGAGGAAAAGTGTTAAACAAAACACAATCATTTGTGCTATGAACTTTAATGTGCTGTTACTTTTTGGACCGTTTGGACAAATTTTCCCTTGCGAATGGGCAAAAACAATGGTATTGTGGCACACAGAATTAGCATGTTCAAGCACTTCTCACATTTCTTTAGAAAAAGTTTCTAGTTTGTAAGCATTTGTTGTTTAGATGCTTGACACTTTGAATGATAGCTGGTTCATGGACACTAAATGCATTGAAGTTTTTAAAAAAGTTAGAAATAAGGACTAAATGAGATTTGCAGAAAGAAATGGGAAGCTAATGCAATCCTAATTGCATGTGTGGCAATTCATTCATGCATTTAGGGCTAAAGTACTTGCTGTTGGAGGAAACGTATTTCAGGGCCCCAAAATGGTGATGCAAATTGTTTTGTTTTCATATACTGACTGAATTATTGTCCTTGAAACAGAATGCTAGCTCAAAAGATTGTTGCATTCTGCCCGTCTCATAAATGCATCTTACTTCTTTTTGAAAAGACTAAAACAAAACCCAATTCCTGATTTCATACAGTCTTCACTGAATGCAACTTAAATGTTTTAAATGAAATGTCATAACAAGGTCTTTCATTCAAAACGATATGCTGGTTCTGTAAAAAAGAAAATGACAGATGGAGGTGTTAACTCAGGCAATAGCGGCAGACACACTCCCCCAGCGGCAGACACAAGCTCCCTTTTGGACATTCTGTTGACAATAAATAACTTTGCAACTACATGTCAACTAACTCTCATTAGAGGATTAGTAGACTAACACTTTACCACACTTCTGCTAACACTTTATTCTACTGACTACATACCTTAGCAAGTACATCAACTTATTCAAACCCTAACCCAACCAGTCTAATAATACCTTGACTAACACTCTAATGTTAGTATGTAGGTGCAACGTTACTTATAGTCAACAGAATATGTTAAAGGTGCCATCAAAATAAAGTGAACCCAAAACTTGTTGCATTTTCTCAGTTTAGTCACATAATGAGTCAAGGTGCAGAGTTACAATGACAGTTGACAATACGAATGCTTACTTGTCAAGATTGTGCATTGTGGGATATAGTATCCAGTGCATTGTGCTTTATACTGCACATTTTTGCAAAGTAGTAGATCATCTAGTATTCTATTCATTCACACTTTTTTAAATGATGCTGAGTATACAAACTCTAGCCTATACCTAAAAAACAGTTAATGTAGTATGGTAGTATACTTCTCTCAGTAAGTGGAGACCAGATGCAATCCACCCAAGCTTTTGGTGCCATCTACTGGTGGATGTGCAATTTTAGCTCTGATGGTTCACATCTCTGACTTTTTTTAAGGTAAAAAAAACAAAACAAATGGGTGTGGAAATGATGGAAAGTTGAGGGGAGAGGAGGGGGTCAGGCACAACAACCCACAACAGACAAACAACATGTTCAAATCTACATTCAAATGTGAATGGAAACAGAAAAAAAAAGGAGGCATGAACAAATCAGATAAGTTCATGTTCATGTTCGGAGTGCTAAAGTAGACAATATGTCAATATAAACATGCTTATTTTTTTGCAAATTAACCAAACAGTAGCTTATACAAGGTAAGAAATCAATGACACACATACAGAAAAGTGAGAAACAAAAACAAGGTCAACAAAACAAAAACAAAGAGATGGAAAACGGCTAAATATAGATATCGATATAATTCTGTATACAGGATTAAGTTATTAGATATTTTAGTGATATAGAGAGTCAATTTAAGACAATCATAGTAATAGTAATACATGATATATATAGTATATATACATTATACCCAATCCAATTTTTTTTCTTTGGCTTGGACCTTTGTGTGCACTGGTTAGCTCCCCAGCCAGAGACACCATATTCAACCTAGATATCAATCCAACACAGTTATTTTACATGAGAGAAGGGATTAGGGCAAAGGCGGTAAAAGAGAGGGGCCAATCAACCCAACAATTGAGTTTGTAATGACCATGCCAACAGGACATGCCAGCCACTGACAGCACCTAGAACAGACCCAGACCATTTATATTTTATAAAATAATGTATACAAATTATAAATATTTATACGTAATGTTTTCTGAAATGTTATTTATATAGGCGAAGAGAGGGAAGTAAGACAAATAGTTTTATAATATCAATACCAATACCACCATCCCTACTACCACCATCACCGACAAAAATAAACAGCAATAGCACTGGTATGCAGATTTTACATATATAGTGTCAGGGTTCACAGAGGAAACAGACTGGATGGTAAGTTATTGTCGTTTATTTGTGCAGAGGAATACTCAGTCAGAGATAACAGGTGAGGATCAAATGATATGGAAACATAGAACAGGCTTAGCTGAAATGGTAATGTCCTTTTCTCTCTTGCAGGTGGTTTAGAAGCAGTCACACTGGAGATGGATGAGACGGAAGGATCGGGAATCTGGTAAGTAGCAGGTGAGTGGAAGGAGAGTCTGTGAGTCATGTAACGACGAGACCAGACAAGTGACTGCAGTGAAGGTGAGTGCTTTATAGTGCATGTGGGTGATGGGACACAGGTGACGGTGATCAGTAATCAGGTGATTGTGAACGGGGGAGTGTCCGACTGGGTGATTGGGAATGAGTGGGCGGTGATGGCGATCGTGACGTGGATGGAATCCTGACAGTACCCCCCCCTCCCGAGGCGGCTCTTGACGCCTGAGAGGAGTGCTGCCGGCGGCGAGGTCTACCACGACCCCTGGGAGCGGGACGATCCGGATGTTCAACTGCCTCTGGATGGTGAAAGGTCCAATGAATCGAGGACTCAACTTACGGCAAGGCAGACGGAGACGAATGTCCCGAGTCGACAACCATACCTTCTGACCTGGTTGGTATAAGGGAGTGTCAAGTCGGTGACGGTCAGCTTGCTCCTTGTGTCTCCGAACTGCCTGTTGTAGATGCACGTGAGCTGAGTCCCATACCCCCTCGCTCTGATGGAACCAGAAGTCGACAGCTGGAACCTCCGAGGGCTCACCCGACCAAGGAAAGAGTTGAGGCTGGTATTCAAGGACACACTGGAAGGGGGTGAGCCCGGTGGAGTTCTGTCGCAGGGAGTTTTGAGCGTACTCCACCCAGGGGAGGTAACGGTTCCAGCTGTCTTGGTACTGGTGGCAGTATGTCCGCAGGTAACGACCGATCTCCTGTATCTTACGCTCAGTCTGGCCATTAGTCTGCGGATGGTAACCTGAAGAAAGGCTGATGGTGATCCCGAGAAGTCTGAAGAAGGCTTGCCACACACGTGAGATGAACTGTGGACCCCGATCTGAGACGATATCTTCAGGGAGACCGAAGTTCCGGAAGACATGTTGGAATAGAGCTTCCGCTGCTTCCAATGCAGTAGGGAGTCCAGGTAAGGGGATCAGCTTACATCCTTTAGAGAATCGATCCACTACCACAAAAACACAGGTGAAGCCTTCAGAATTGGGTAGATCGGTCATGAAGTCAATCCCGATGTGGGACCAGGGTCGTCTGGGAATCGGCAACGGCACCAGTTTACCTTCTGGAAGTCTTCTCGGTGTGTTGCTAATGGCACAGACTGAGCATCCGCGGACAAACCTGGAGACATCTCTGGCAATGGATGGCCACCAGTACCGTTGACTGAGGAGCGAGAGGGTACACTGAGGATTACGGCTGGAGGGAGAATAGGTTCCGAACGAACATCTTCCAAGGAGGGATGATGGAGTCGAGAC